TCGTGATCCGTCCAATCGGCTCCACCCCAGTGGCTCTGGAGTTTCCCATGTTAATCTTATGAACCTTAATGAATCTTAACAGCTGTTTCAATTAAACAAGTTGGTTCTGTTCTATGATGTTCAAGTTCAATAGCATTAAAGTTACAAGGATTACCAACAGGGTGCAGCACTATTATTTATTTTACATTTATGACAACAGCTAATTTGCAACCAAAAGGTGAGTGAGCGTAGCGAACGAACTTCAACCTGGAGGCGAGTTAGCGTAGTGAACGAGCTAACCTGAAGGCAAGTGAGCGCAGCGAACGAGCTCCAACCTAAAGGTGAGTGAGCGTAGTGAACGAACTTCAACTAGGACGTGATTGAGCCATGCGAACGAGGTCATCTTGAAAATTAAGAAGTTAAACGGGGCAAAGCCCGCGGGTTACAGCTAGTTAACAATAAAAATCCTCGTAATATATGTTACTGTGACATAACACTTAAGATGTCTCAAGACTGTTATGTGAGTTACCAGATGACCTTAGACACGCAGGGGATCGTTATACAGTACAGGCACAGAAAACATACTACTATAACCTATATACCTATAACTCTATATATATATACCTACTCTATAGTAGGTATAGGTTATAGTAGTATGTTTTCTGTGGTACAGGCGACGTGGTGTGTCTAGTCTAGTGGTTAATTACACTGAAGACTCTTGTTCGATTCTCGCCAATCAACAGCTATGTGATACAGAAATGTAGCTCCCTATTTATGAAACTAAAAAGAACTAAAGATGGATATCTCCGTTTATGAGAGCTTTCATGGTATTTTGAAACTTCCTTTTTTCCTTCCATAAATCAAACTAAAATTAATTGCTTGATGTACAACATAACACACTTGATTTTACAATCAATTTTTGGAATACTAAATTCTTACCATGGGTTTGATTATAGTTTTAAAAAAATATAGCTTCATTTTTGTCATTAGCCTGTCATAGTATTTATACAAAATGACCTTCGGAAAATCCGTGCCTGTGACCCGGCTGTTGTATTGTTATACTGTATTGTGATTATACATATTTAAAAAATCTATGAGTCACTTTGAACCTCTCGGCTTTAATTTAATTTTTCCATAAAAAACCTCCCTACTTTTCGTTATTTTTTAACTAATTTTATTGTCTCCAGACACGAATACAGTATAGCTAATCCAAGCCAAATGATATACCACGCTCTCTCATCGTCCAAGTTTGTTTGCCTGTAGAGAAATGAACCATGACTTGGAGGTCTGTGATCTTTTCATCAATGTAGTCAACAACTGTCGTAGCTTGACAAATAAGATGGAATGCAAAGAGTAAGCTGAATAAGATATTGGTCTATACTGTAAAATCCTTAATGTGTACTTTCAGTTTAAGGTAATTATTGGGTTTTTAACCTCATTTTAAATATAAACACCAATAACTTAGTATGTCACCAAAGTCTTCTATTTAGGCTTCGTTATTTTGTGTTTTATAAGGTCATAAGTTCTTAAGTTGCGTGTGAAATTGAGTAATGTAAAGTGAGTCTGATACTTCATTCTTCAAGTTATTTAAGAAATGATTGTGGGAATCATTCCTTCTTCATTTAGTAAAAACAAACAAAGTTTTCATGACGTTTCGATATTTGGAATCGTATCCCCTCAAATGAGAAAGCACCTTAAAACAACTAACAAGATTGGTACACAAACCCTGCCAAAGCTGAAAAAAGAATAAATGAATGTAACATTTTTTCATGTCAACTAGCCTCACTGCAAACATAATCCAAACAAAACAAAGTTTTTTTCCAACAAAACAGTCAGTTTGTGAATCGTATTACAAACCCCTAACTAACATTATACAGGGTGTCCACATTCTGGAAAGTCAGGGATAGTCATGGAAAGTCATGGAAAAAAATTCTGGTCATTGAAAGTCATGGAAATCCCCAATGATGGATGGATTTCAGGGGTACTTTCAATGATCTAGTCGGCCGTAACCCCGACTATTGTAGCATTTTTCTGAATTTTTCATAAATGTACGACAATTCAATTTATACAGTTGTCTTAGTTTATAGGTTTTTCGAGTTTGTATTTAGTTCATTGTTGTACCTGTTGTACGCCATTGTTATCTGTCAATACATATTTCAGTATTTTCTGTCTAGGCAGTATTATTCAAGTGTTTACGGTATATTATAATTTTCGAGTAAAGTTCGTGAGTCATGGAAATCAATGGTTAATGGTCATGTATAGTCATATTTCTGTGGACACCCTGTTATAGCCTACATGTTAACGCATATTATTTACATGTGAATCACACCTTTTGAATTTCGACACGCCCATTCCAGATCAGAATTGCCTAATATTGTAAAAAACTTATCCAACTTGACACGGTGAGTTTCGAACAGGATTACTGGATTCCTCGATTTCCAAATCGAAACAAGTTCCAGCTGGTCTAACTAGGCTCTCAGGCTGTCAGAATGGCGGGCGTTCTACACACGCTTCTGTACAAACGTACAAAAAGACGCCTACGCCCAGTGCGCGTTATATAACACAACGGGACCCCCGCCCAGCCTTGGCCTCCTAGCATGGGACAAGAGCAGATGATGTAGAGAATCAACATGACCTCAAGCTTGGGTCGTTTTTATGATCCATCATAGATCACATTTTGTATGAATTCTTTTCTACAAAATTGGGGTTTTCTAGCCTTTTCTGTAACGAGACTGTCTATAACAGTTATATAATCAGTTATTTATGTAAGGAATCGTGTAGTCTTTTTACTAATTGACTTGGTCGAAAATCAATAGGTCATAGGCACAGTTACTATGGTTGAGTAACAAAATTGTGTGAATTAATTTTTTGTTCTCATAAATTATTTATTATCTGTATCAACTAATTTGTCTGGAAAACTGAGTGATTACGGTTCTCGTCCTCCAAACCGAAGGTCGTCTGTTTTGATCATGAGGAAATTCAATAACTTTTCAGTTTTTCGAAACTGGACCTATATCGACCTAGCTGTCCTTGATCAATAGGATTTTATATATGCTTCTGGCTGAGGAAACATCTTGTCTTAGTCAGTAGCAAATGTACACAAGGCGTCTCCACTAATTTTTTAATGGCCATTTGCGTCCTCACCTTGGTTGGTAAAACCGAAAACCGGAAATGTATTCAATTTAATTCGATACAAGAGAACTTTATAAACGTTGCTAAAAAACAATTAAACGTTAATTTATTTGATTATGGGTTTCTTCGTGATTTACTGATATTTATATTGTTTTGCTATACATATTTATAATAGTTAATTAAGTAAGTGATATAACGTTTAACCTCCAGAAAAGCTAAATATTAGTATGACTTGATAAGAAAAAAATAAAATTTAAAATTTAAAAAAATAAAAATAAAACCTCATGCTTGATTATTTTTCTACCAAACGAGTTATTATTGATAGGGCACATGATCAGTATGCATAAATTATTTGCGCACTAAGTGAAAGTCCATATATAGTATAGTTGTGCGAAAATCGTCCAAGGACATGACACGAAGGCAAAAACATTCAAAAGTGGGGAGATGTCTACTTCTATATCCAATTTAAAACCAAAAGATAAGCGTAAGAATATTTTTTTTATCATATGATCGTGGAAATACATATTTCAACATTGTTAAATGGCACCATTTAAATATATATTTACACTATAAATTATTTTTGTTTTGCGAATACGATACAACTTCTAGATGTAACACAGCTTCAGTAAAACGTATCGTTAAAGTCTTTTTTTCTACCCTTGTTAAACCTTTTAACACCACAAACTACATTTCCATTTTAACCTTATTATTAGGTGTATTTTTAGTCTTGGCAGTTATTATTGCTGCTTTAAAAGTGAGAAAGTAATTTTACTTGTAAACTAATAACTAATAAAAAGAACAACACAAACATGCTCAACTCGTGACTTTCGACTTATCAATTTTGAATCAGAATTTGTCATAAACTAGCAGTACAAAGTGCAGTTAAATTATAAAGGCAGTGCACTAAAAGTCGGCGTATGATTGTCTTAAGTGTTTCTTGATAAGTCTATTCAAACCTGCGCTGGTCGTTACCGTAGGCATTTTGCAATTTAAATTCTCTTTCCACGATGTTAAATTCTTGTTGTACATATCTATAGTAGTATCGGGCTTCTTAATCTAGCCATCAGAAATGATTCATGTTTTAAATAAACTTCAATACATTATACTAAGTCAGTTTATCTTAAAATAAAGTTTCAAATCAGACAAAAGGATCTTCCCTTCTCTAAGCTAAATGCATGGCGTATGGACCATTGAAGTGCACGTTCGCTCCTAATTTTAAACTAATTCAACAGAAAGAGCAATCAAGTGTTAACTATGTAGATCACAATTGCTTATGTGATTCTTCGCCTGAAATTCTTGATACTTCTTTCAGCGGTGTGAAATCGATTGAGTAATATCCACTGACTGCGTTGAAGGTTAATAAGAGTTTGTTTTAGGAAGCTGTTTTGGCATTAATAACTCAAATTCAATAGACTTGGTACAAAATGAAGTATTAAAAAATATTATTCACCTGAGATGTAGTTAATTTGAATTATTTTTATTTATTATATTTTTGTTATCTACTAATTTAAAAAAATGAAAAAAAATAGTTATCTACAGTTGCAAATTTATTAATGGCTCAAAAAGATACCTCATACCCACGAGTTTATAGTTTACTTTAAAATGCACCCTTTTCCAAGTCATTGAGCTAACATCCCTGGCATCTAGTGGCAGGTTACGTAACTTACAAATAGCTGTTGCATAACCTAAATTTTAATATTCTACTCATTCGCAGTATTCATAAGATACCGTTGCTTGTAGTTTGACCACTTTTTTGGTTTATTTTGGTTTTGAGTTCGGGGGTGCTCCCAGCTCGCACGACCGCACTTTGCATTAGCCAGGTATTCCCCCTCCCTTCCCCACACCTCACCGTTACATAACCAAGCTTTGCCGCACTCTGTTAGAAGTTAGCTCTTTGTGCGGTGCGTTGTTGTTGTCGTTGCTGTTTTTGCATTGTTGCGCCTTATCAGTTGTTACATTGTTGTGTTTCGGTGCCGGTCTCTGTGATTTCGCGACTGTGATTTTTATCGTGTGTTTGTTTCGGTTTGTGTTGAGGTTGTTAAGTTTTTGTTTGTGTCTAACACCACCTGTGAACATTGCACTGTTTGACTGTAAGCTAATATTTAGGAACTCTTTAGTATCTGTTTTTGGGGTTACTTGGCAGAGAGAAATAGGAAAGTAGGACACTACATAATTAGTGTGTTTTTTTTTCAGATAAGCAACTAACATAGTTTTTGGCACTGAGGATATTTTTATGCACTGCTCGATCTAATATCTGTGTCACTCTAACACTCACGTTTTAGTAATAGCTCCTTGTGTAAATAAGACGGCACGTTACGTAACCTTGATTCCACGCAACGCTTGCAGGATGGGATCTAACGCGGCCCTTCTCTTTCCAGCTTAGCGGCTGTCATGTCTTATACTTTTACGGATCCCGAAAGTTTAAATCGAGATCCAGACACGAGCTCCTTAGCCTCTACTAGCACCACTGCCACGACCGCCAGTCAGCAGTCTACGAAAAAGAAGAAACCTTGGTCAAAGTTCAAGAGCAGTATTAAATCAATTGGTGATAAAATGAGTTCCAAACCAAAATTTACCGACCCTACTGAAAGTAGTGAGCAGAAACGAGTAAAAAAGGGTAAAAAGGTAAAGGCTAGTAGTAGTGGTGAGCTGAAACCCTCTACTCCTGAAGAACCCCCTCGAGCGAAATCTCCCACGAAAAATATAATGAAGAAACTCAGTGTAGAAAGTATTAGCACACCTTTCGTTGGCTATCAACCGGCGTCAGTGAGTCCTGGACCTAAGTCTTACGCTAAGGCTCTCCACAAGTCAGGGTCTACCAGTGAAAGCAATCTATCGGCGAGTGACATCGATACCCCTAAGAAGTCTTTGACGTTGGATAGAAATATCAAACTGCAGGAGTCACCGGACAGCGGTCGAGCTAGTCAGACCATGGGTAGCCTAGAGGGTAGCAGACCTCCTAGCCAGATCAAGGAAGTATCCTCCGACGTGAGTGTGGACAGCGACTACACAAGTCCCAGCCAATCTAAATCTTACAGAGGACTAGAGGAGGAATCACTTGACAAGTTGGTGACGAAGACGGAACAGTTCGCGCAGAGTTTGACGTCGCCAGGGAAAGAATCCAATAGTGATGTGTCGGTGGAGTTTTTAAAAGCGGAAACTGCTGTAAAACCCGAAACAAAAGATTCCAAAGAACCGGCAATTGGAATTGTGAAAGAGAAGAATGAAGCTCCTGTGGAAAAAGGCAGAGTGGGAGATGAAGACGCAATGGATGGCCGTAAGAAGAAAAACAACCGAGAAAGCAAAAAGGAAGACAGTTCAGGTTTCATAAACTCGGAACGAGCAGTAGTAGACCCTATTGCACCTCCATCAAAAACCCCGAGAAAAGGTTCAGATTCAAAGTCGGAAAGTACGGATAAAGATGTGAAGAAAGGCGCCTCCAAAAGTAAAGAAAGTAAAAATGATGATTCTAAAGGGACCCCTGAAACTACATCAACCTCTGACGAAAAGAGATACGATAACAAACCGGATAAACCACCAAGTAAAGTACCTGTTTCTCAAGAAAATGTGCCAAACCCAGAAAAACGTACCTCTTCGCCAACAGAAGGAAAAATTAAGAATGACACAGTTAAGAAAGAAGACCCAAAGCCTCAGACACCAAAAAGTGATGACGCAGGAAAACCCGCATTGAAAACACCTGAAAAGGTCGTGTCTTCAAGTTCACAAGGACAATCGCCGTCCACCCTCACAGGTGGAAAATCGACGAGTGACACAGTTAAAAAAGAAGGTCCAGAGCCTAAGACAAAAAAAAGTGATGACGTAGAAAAAGCCGCATTGAAAACTCCGCAAAAGGACGTTTCTTCGCCCCTCACAGACCCTCAGGGTTTGACAGTCGAGGAGAAGCTGCAAGCGTTTCTGTCAGCTGAGGGTATGGCGGGAACCATCAAGGAAACACCCGCCAAAAACGGCGATGGGGTGAGTGACGTCACAACTATTATTGAGGTTTACATAATCACTGGTTAATCTTGACGCATGCGTTATTAATCACTTGCATCCAATTGATTTTTGATTAGATTGCTTCACCTATCTTGTACCTAGAGTTTATAGGCAATGAAATTGTTCGCTAACGAATTTGTAACTATAAATTAGCCTAGTGCTCAAAATTATTTCTTGGTTATGCTTTCGTAACATTTGCTCCCATATTTGATTGGTTTAGGAAACTTCAGAAATGCATTAAACGTTACTTCATTTAGTTTATACCAAAAAGAGAAATCATTTGAAATTTAAAACTTTTTTACCTGACAAAATTTAATTTTTTTCTTCCTGCATAACAAATTTAACGAATTTTCTGATAGTAAATCACCTTTTAAAATGTTTTGATTTTTGAATTACAGTACTCTAGAAATGTATTGCGTGTTTTGTAACTAGCAAAATTATAAATTAGGAATATTATTAAAATAGTGTTTTACTTAAGATGATTGTGGTTTATTTTACAGTTACTTTAACTGTCTCGTCGGCCCCAATTATGTGGGGTTAAGTGATAAGCGTTCAGTTACATGGTTATATAATCTTAGGACACAAACTCCTGACAAACGAGGCGCTAGTAATTGCTTGATAAACATATTTTTTATACATTTAGTAAGTATTTACTATTAGAATCGTGTTCCTATAAAAGTGTTTTCCCGATTTAATAATATCGATTCAGGACCTTATACTTAAAATGAGTAAACACTTATGTAATTACTAAAAGTTGTTGGATCTAAAACCCAATATATTATATTAAACCGTTTAGTTCAACATTAAAAAAATAAAGTTTGTACAGTGTGAATAGACCTGATTGAAAAGACTTTATTCGCTGAAGTAGCAAAATATACAAACCTTCGTAAAGATCGACTGTGTTATGATTGTTATTTTTACGTTAATGTACGCTGATTCCTAATGACAATTTTAATATCATAAAACTCCAGCATCCACCACTATTCGAGATATTATATAGTCAAAGGTCAATGGATTATTCAATTCCTCTCAAAACGAACCTAGACTCGTACCAAGAAAATATAAACCTAAATTTGGCTTACAGCATTCGAATGTCACGATTTAAAACGAAATTAAACGTTCCGTTATTGCAGAACATATTTACATATTCAATACTAAGACATTACATATATTTATCATGGTAAAAATTGTTATATAGGTGTAGAATTATTCTTATATAATATCAGTTATGTAACTAACGTGTTGACCGCTCCAGGTATTGCTTCATGTTTTTTTTTCTTTCGTGGACATTAGCATACAGGATAACCTGCAATTCATTCTCTGGTTAAAGGAGAAATAAAAATCTACAACATTTTTTAATAGCTTTTAATTACTTGTAACATTTTGATTTTGTAAATACCTCCTTACATAAAACTGTTCGAGCTGTAAGGTGGAATATATCTGTTTTTCTATTTTAGTTTACATTGAGGCGAGGACACTTTATTTTGTGCTTATTACTGTCTGTACAGTATTGGAATTGTTTATGTTTATTTGTAAGCGAAACCCCCTAGTCAATGTACATTACTAATATGGTAATTAATTAAATTATATTCAAATGCCGGTATCCTCTCCAACTCCCAGAAATAAATTCAACAACTAGATGCCTAATCAGAATCATAAAGCATATCAAAAATATTTTTAGTGTTGCGACCATTGCAACTGTCGGTCCCTCTTTAACCGCTTGAAAACATTCAACACCAACAATTACAGATACCTCAGAGATAAGGCTCATAAGTCGAAGTAGCTAGGTTCAAGACCCACCTGGGGAAAAATATTTTGTTCCATTTTTTGTTTTTAATTTACTTTAATGGTTTAATCAAAATACTCAACTGATAAATGTGCTTTTCATACTAAATCTAATAGTTGGCTCAACAAAATTTACAGACGTTGGCCCTTGGTTGGCAAATGGTTGGGTTGGCCCAACGTAGGCAAGATGGCTACATACCGTTGGCCAACCGTGGGAGACAGTCGTTGGGCCAACCAATCCCCAACCGTTTTTGTTGATAGGGATACATCTGTGCGTATTAAGGATCATATCCTTATTGAGGTGATCTACTCGGTGGTAAAACGTGTAATGGATCTCGAAATCGTAGATCCCCTGTGTAAATGAACTTCAGAGCTGGCAATGGCAAAGGCGGAATTAAATTGACGAATTTTATCCAAATAGTTTCTGGATCTAAGTCTCACAGTCCTTTTTTCAGATTGGGAGTTTCCAATAAGTTCATGAAAGTATGGTGAATTCCGCAAGTGAGTTAGGCTAAACATACCTTTCATTTATGGCAACAAAGAGTACAAATTGAAATGTCTCAGCCAGTCTTTTCTTGTTTAAAATGTAAGTTTAAGCCATCCTAATGCAAACATGTATCGTTCATTTGCCCGAGGTTGGATGTAGCACCCTCTGTATCCGTCAATTGTTCCATTGGGAGGGTGATGCAAGCGGTCACGTTCGTTCACGTTCCCTCCACACTCAGTTCTTCGTCTTACTGGTGGCATTTAATTTTAAATTTAGGCCTAAATAAAATACGAAAGAACCAAACAACAGAAACCACTACAAAGGAATTTTGATACACTTTGTAAATTATATGAAAACTAACGGATAAGTGCACTGTGAATAGCCTAATCACTTTAAACATCCACTTCATCACACCGAACTCCAAAACTACATGATAATTCAGTAAAATACTACAATTAAATTCAACTATTACAACAAATTTGTTGTCAAGTCTTGCTAGGAAACTCTTTATGTACAACCAGACTTAGTTAACAGATGTTAAAATAAAAATAAAAATTACGGCTTTGCTCTGGAAGAAATAAGACCTGGAGCCTGTGGTCAACCTTAAAAACTATTTCAAATAACGTCCAGATACAGTATGTTTATTTGTTTACAAAGGAAATTGAGTTTGGTCCAATGTCAACAGATAGCGCCGCTGTTCCCAAACATTAGCCCTTAACTGTACTTAAGTGATGCCCTTTCTTAATATTCAAAGACGTATTTGCACATCTACGTGAAAATACCTTTGATTTGACACCTCAAACGTTAAAATCCGTCAAGCTGTTGTTTACTTATGACTGTGAAAAGAAAACTGCTTGCGCATTAATATACAGGGTGTTTTTTTAAAAACTTGCATCTTTATTTATGTAAAAACCGCAATAGATAGAAATATGCAGTTTGCGGGAATCATCTATTGACGTAGGGGGACCAATTGTTTTGAATTCAACGTTACATTCACATTCCCCCCCTTTCCCCCCCTGCCCCCAACTTATTTTTTTTAAATAGCAAGGTACCCCTTGTGACATATCAAATAAAAGAGCATAAAAAAAGAAAATGTTTGATGAAAAAAAATTGAAAATCGGTTCATAAATTTGTGAGATATTCCCCCCCTCACCCCCCCGGAACTTAATTTTTTTAATAGCAAAGTACCCCTTGTGACATATCAAATGAAAGAGCATGAAAAAAGAAAATTTTTGGTGAAAAAAAATTTAAAATCGGCTCATGAATTTGTGAGATAATCACCCCCCTTTTCCCCTACCCATAACTTGTTTTTTAATAGCAAGGTACCCGCCCTTGTGACATATCAAATAAAAAATAAATTTCACCAACATTTTTCTTTTTTCATGCTCTTTCATGTGATATGTCACAAGGGGTACTTTGGTATTAAAAAAAATTAAGTTCCGGGGGGTTGAGGGGGGGCATATCTCACAAATTTATGAACCGATTTTCAATTTTTTTTCATCAAACATTTTCTTTTTTCATGCTCTTTTATTTGATATGTCACAAGGGGTACCTTGCTATTTAAAAAAATTAAGTTGGGGTCAGGGGGGGAAAGGGGGGGAATGTGAATGTAACGTTGAATTCAAAAAAATTGGTCCCCCTACGTCAATAGATGATTCCCGCAAACTGCATATTTCTATCTATTGCGGTTTTTACATAAATAAAGATGCAAGTTTTTAAAAAAACACCCTGTATAGATTCCCCATATGGGAAATTTGCTAAAACTAGAGTCCTTATTTACTTCTATCTTATTACTACCTTACAATTTCAACGTATGTTATTTTTGACGATCCTCGTATTTTGCCAATAATTTGTTCACTGTGCCACCAAAACTAAAACATAATTTTCCTCTAAATTGTATTATTGTTCACTTCTCCTAATAAGATTTTCTCTTTACAGAGTCTACAATCAGACAAGCGAGAGTGTCTTTACAAGATTCTTGTTATTGGAGAGTTGGGAACTGGGAAGACGTCTATTATCAAGAGATATGTCCACCAGTTTTTTTCGCAGCATTACCGAGCAACCATCGGGGTCGACTTTGCTCTCAAAGTGCTTAATTGGGACTCAAACACCATCATCCGCCTGCAGCTTTGGGATATTGCTGGTGGGATTTTTACCATAAAATATTATTTTATTAAATTATCATTTCCACATAATCAAAGTTTAACGTTGTTTCTTTAAATATTGAGATTCATAAATTCTCCTGGAGAAATAGCTTAAAGAATTATTAATTTTATATCAATCACTTTTTCAGAGATTGTTTGGGAAGGTTTTTACATGATTTCGTCAAATGTTAAAACGATGACATTTTAAAGGTGCTTTGTTAGCCTTGTATCCTGAACAAAATGTCAAAAGTACTGTCAAACATTTATATTCTTTTCTATTCTGGTTATCTCCGGGTCTGGATGTTGACTAGACCACTCAACTATGTTTCTCTCCACATTTCCTCTTCCTCTACCATCTGCGATTTCACCATTGCCTTCTCAAAACAAGTTTTTTTTTAATAGATCCCCTCATATTTATTTGAAATTTTAATCACAAATTTAAGACAGAATCTGATTCTTCTAGATTAGCTATATTTTTTTGCCAGACTCTCTTTCATAAGCTTGGGTTTACTAAATCAATCTCTAAGGCAATTACACCATTATAGTGTTAATATTTTAAGGTTTCCCTTTACATACATTTCAGATGTCCCATATTCATTCTAATGATTGAGTACTACCATGGACAAAAAGAATTAAATATACACCGTCAGCTGTGCTGTGGTTACCATAGGTTCTGGCGCACACCGCTGGGAGCGCCGGCGCTCCCATCACTGTGCGCCAGAACCTATGGTAACCACAGCACGGCTGACATTCTATATTTAGTTATTTTTGTCTATGGTACTACTAACTGTTTTATTAGCTGTCAGGAAAACCTTTTTCAATTTTTTTTTAAGAAAACACAAACTTAAATGCACATATTCATAGCGTTTGACCTTGACCCCTTATATTGTAGTGTTTGATAAACTGTTGAATGTGCCGAGGGTGTCCTTATTAAGTGACCAGTTCAGGTCATCACGTAACTATACGTTGATTTTACCTGTTTCTATACCATGAAATGTTTCAACAGGACAGGAAAGGTTTGGAAACATGACCAGAGTGTACTACAAGGAAGCGGTTGGTGCCTTTATCGTGTTTGACGTGACGAGATCTGCGACGTTTGATGCCGTCCTCAAGTGGAAGCAGGATCTTGATTCCAAAGTACAACTTGCTGACGGTAGTCACATCCCCTGTGTGCTGCTAGCAAACAAAGTAAGATATCTACAAATACTTTGAGAACTGTCTACTCTGACTACAATATTTGGTTGGGCAAATTTATCTTTCAATTTTTATGCTTTTGATTACTATATTTTAAGCTGAACATAAATGCAGGGTGAGTGTAAGATAGAGGGAGATGATCTGTGTAGCTTTACGTGGTGGACAGTGGTGTAGTCACAAATGTTCCGTTGTGGGAACGCTTCCCAAGGGTATGGAAAAATTTTTTTAGTCACTCATCAATATAGGTTCTTTGGCAAAAGCAGAGAGGTATCGCGGTTCCTGTCCCACTACATCAATGTTTACTGATTAGCTGTGTCATTGGCCAGGATCCATTATTAAAAGCTCATCAAAAAACTACTGAATTTTCTCGGGATAAAATCAGTGATTTTTAGATTGTTAGGCAAACACTATAATATCATAGCTACTCAGCAATATTAACAAATATAAATACATAAAATGTTAATTATACTATATGGTATTAGATGGTATAAGAACAAAATGTCAAACGGGGGAGAGTGGGGATCCTTGAGACAAGCTTTTTTATATAAATTTTATTTTTTTTTCTATATGACTTGAAGGGCTAGATTATGTATTATTATTAAGCTTAAGTATATACCTTTCTCTTCCATTGAATTTCAAAGATCTATACTAAGTCATAACAAAAAAAAATAATAAATTGTAATTTTTGTAAGTGTCTCAATGTGCCCCACCTATGGGGTACGTTGAGACAGGTGGTGGGGATGGTTGGGGATGGTGGGGATGGTTGGTTTGGGTTTTCCTTTGTCATTTGAAGGAGACGGCAAGATCATAACTATATCTTTGATTGCTACACTGCCAATGTCGTCAACATTTAGGAAAAAGAATGAGTTTTTCATTTTAGAAGATTTTCTTAAAAATTTAACAACGAAGTCTCCATTTTCAGTTTTTGTAAGAACTGTTCCTGCATAGAAAACTTCTTTTCTGTCCAAAACAAACTTAACAAGCACAAAATCTTCTAGGTCAACCTGCTCTACATCGAAGTTTGTTTGTCTCAACCTTCCCCGCCTAATTTTGTCTCAACCTTCCCCACTCTGCATCTGTAAACAAAGCCAACATTACCACTAAAACGAATAGAAATTGGCGAATAAAAACACAGCCAATTATACACTGTTACATGGCCTGTTCAACAATACAAATCTTAACAAATTTGAACTAAAAGTAAACTAACAGTATTAACTTACCCAACGACTCAAGTATTTACTTTTGATGTTCACAAATACGTTTAACTCACTAACTCAGACACAACCATTCAGAGAGATACAATATGCAGACTGGGGTTATAGGAGAAAGAAAACAACAGTTTGAGCTCAGTGTTTCCAACCGGCAACATTAAATTACCCTAAATTTATCTTTGTCTCAACGTGCCCCTTGTCTCAAGGATCCCCACTCTCCCCCTGTTCAAACATGTAGCCTATATTCTTTTCTATTCTGTTTATCTCCGGGGTATTGACCACTCACCTTTTTGTATTGAATATAGCTTATCATACAATCAATTCCCAGCTATGACATATCATCAGCTCGGTTAAAACTAGTCATCCAGTGATGATTTTATATAGGGTGTTTACATATATAATATGTAAGACCATGTACAGTTGTATATATGCTTAGACCATACTAGTCTAAGTAAAGCAACCTTTTTGTTTTTCAGTGTGATCAACAAAAGGAGGGAATTGTAAATACTCCGGCCAAGATGGACGAGTATTGTAAAGAAAATAACTTCTCTGCTTGGTTCGAAACATCTGCCAAAGAAAATATCAACATAGACGAGGCTGCAAAAAGCTTAGTTACACAGGTAAAAAACCTGTCCACTGATTTCTCTGTTTTAGTATGGATATATTTGCAGATATTTCATAAAGTAGCCGTCACTAATAATGAAAGTAACTTAAGTGGAAATCAAAATGAAACTTCAAATTCTTAGAAATAACAATTTGTAGGGACCAGAAAAGTATTTTGAGCTGCAAAAAGTTGAGAAATTGCTTGGATCAGGAACACCAAAAGTTTGAGCTGGCTTTCTCAGCACAAAACGGCTACAGTTTAATTGAACTATAACAGATTAATCTGACACAAAAAACCGCTGTCTCTTAACATTCTTTTATTAATTTTGACAATCAGAGACCGTCCATCATAAGAAATTAATGTAAGTATTGTATTTTAGCAAAATGTATTTATCGTTGCCTCCAGGTTTGATTTTTGACCTAATATAAATAAATAAACTGATACCTTAGGTTGTCAATCGTAGTTTGGACTTCGGCAAAAAGCCTCAAAACAACAGTTTCATTTTTTACAATAGACCATTGTCTTAATTTTATGAAGGAAAGAAAATTGAACATGAAAATTTTGGTTCAAAACTAGAAGCCTGAGACTAAAATATAATTAACGTAATAGTAGGCTATATTACGTTACTAGTCTTGAAAATAGGTGTTACCGGACGAGTGTGGTTCCCTGTGCAAGACAAACTCGAGAACGGGATTACCGTATGAGTCCGGTAAACACATTTTGGACGAGTGACGTACGATATTTTACCTAACCCGCCATGTTAAACTTCCCTATCCCAAGCGTGATGTATACAACTTCTTTACTTCTCGAGTGATGTAAAGTATCAAAAACTCACTCGGTGATGTAAAGAAACCCATTTAAATAACATTGAGTGCTTATCTTAAAAAATATACCTCTATGGGGCCAACGACATTCAACGCTAGAAATCAGCTGTGTGCTTGAATGTTATTGTTATGTTTTGAAGTATTTTCCTAACCTAGCTTTTGTTTGTAAAAGAACGTTACTGTTAGAAGATGAGTGAAATGGATAATGAAAAATATTGTTCGTAAACCCATATATATTGTCGGGTCAGGTAAAATCTTGTACGTTACGCGTTACGCAAGAGCGTGTTTACATCACTTAGGTGAATTATGCAACTCGCTTCCGCTCGTTGCGCAACATTCACCTGCGTGATGTAAAAACGCTCTTACTACACTTGTAATATAAATAGCTATTATGCTATACTACTCTAAGATAACTTAACAATAAAAACCCTATAGAAATCCTTTTATATTCCCACCGACTAAAGTACAAACAATCACTGCTCATGAACCTCTAAGAGAGGTTACCTGTTTATAAAAACTCATCGCCAAATATAATCGGCTGGTGTCCGGTAATAACACATTACAGTAGTACGTATTGTAGTAATACGTAATGAAACCACATTTGATTAAGCTGGTGCTGTTTTCTGGGCCAAATCCTTTTGTGGGAAGTTGGTTAAAACAGTGTAGTGTGGTATAAACAATATTGTTGCATGTTTTTCTTCACTTTTAGAAATGGAGCACTGTGCGCACTAGTTAATCGTTCTTAACTGTTTCAATATTCAGTTTCTATTCTTAAAATCAAATCCTATGTTTTTAGTCAAAATATAAACAAAAAATTACACAACCCAATTAATTTGAGTATCCTGATGAAAGGCTTCATGACTTGTAGGTACCAAAAGTCCTTTTCCGGCACTTGCTCTATTTATTCCCAAATAGGGCTAAGCCAAAATTATATTTGGAAAAGGAAAACAACATGATCTTTGCCTCACACTCAAATTTTGTGTTCCTATGTTGAGCTTGTCTCCACAAATAAACCTTCAGCATCTTTCAAAAAATGCCACTTCAGAAGTGTTTTATTAATCCATCCCTTTTTTCTATTCTGACGCTGTTTTTGTCTCTTCTGTTGATTCAAGCTATTCTGTGGTCTGTGTTTAGCTCTCCAACCAAGAGTTTTACTGCATGTGTCATTCCATTTCTAAGCATACCATGTAGATTTTGATAATTTATTTATTTTCCTTTTGAGCAAACATAGTTGAGAACCACGCCAAGTTTATTTAAACTCCAAATTTTATTTACAGATTTTACAAAATGACAAATCCAGCCAGAACGGAAGAGATTCTGGGCGAGATGGAGGAAAGTTCCCCCTGGATGGCAAGTCAGAACAAGAAAGCAAATCTTGTGCGTGTTGAGACAATCTCACTGTCTAAGAATTGGCCTTCTTGTGCTGAGCTAAGAACACGATAATAAGAAGATGATACTAGTGTCTTAACTCCTTACCTATAGATTTTGTTTGATTTCAAAATTGTATGATATACAGTTTTTTTTATTATTGTTTGTCTTTATTCTCTTAATACAGTATGAGGTTAAAATCACTCGTAAACAATGCAAGTTCGGAACATTTTATAATTCTTTAAACAAATTTAAATATAATGTGTCAAGGAAAACAAAGGAACATGTTGAGAAATCAGATTATAAGTGTTTTGTTTTTTTTTTCTAAGAAATTATAACTGTGACTTTGTTACTGTAAAGTTTCACTGCCATATATTTCCCCAATGAAATTCCATTGATGCTAGAGTGGTTAGAAAATAAGTACCGGTAGGTGAATGTATAAATTTCTATTTCTACACAAATATTAATAAATTACCGGTATGTATCTGGTTAAATTCCATGTGCAGGTTGTTTGTGAAAAAATCTAAATTAATTTGTAGTTATTTATAAGAATACTGTGTGTGTTTTGAGACGCAGATAAGCATGTAATCTGTAAAAGTACATAATATTAACACACATTCATACTAGAAATATAAAAAAAACGCAATTTAATAATTTAACTATAAAATAAATTTGAAAAATATATACACTTATTGTATGTTCTTACTGTCCGCGAGAGTAAAGAAGTCCCCTGAGCTCCGGCCTATTCGTAGTTTGAAGGCGTTACGCTTGAACGTTTCGCGGGACAATTATTTTTTTTTATAGAGCCGTCTTCACTCTTCATGAGGTATGACGCGTTCATATAAGGTAACTCACCATCGACGTCTACACTTTGCCAACATTTCTGGAACGTTAAATAATTGCTCATCCAAGTTTCGTCCAGATAGAAAATTGTCTTATTTTGTTCCCTTAGCTTCCTCATCTCTCGCAAATACTTAAACCTCCAATTAATAATGTCAGGCCTTTCAATCAAACATTTTCTTTTGGAATCGCATTTCTTCCACTTTAACCCCATATCTTTGAAAAGACGCCGAAGTGCCCATTCGTACCATTTAAAATTAATCCTTTCTCTCAAAACAGATAATAGTTTTTTTCGCAACACTACTGTGAAATAACCTGTTTTCGTTCCATGTTTATCAACTGCGAAAATCCATCATTACATTATTTACCACGGCAAAAGAATGTTAACTATCAACTGCGAAAATCCATCATTACATTATTTACCACGGCAAAAGAATGTTAACTATCTTTTTTAGATTTTGCCGACGTAATCAAACAAATATTTTTTTGTCTTTACATTCATTGTCACAACACTCAATCACCCGTCTAATTAAATCCCTCTCTCCACTATATATATAGTAGCACCACATTTTGATAAATCCATAGCTGCAAGGACTGTCCAAAACAAAACAGAACTCCAATACGCAATCATACGAGACTGCACTGAAAAAATGACGTGACCACATGATGATAATCCACTTAACAAAACAAAGATATGAGTAATTATGTTTACAAAAGTTGTTTACAGACAGACATCGAGGCGAGGCACTCAGATGCTTAGCGCCTGCAAATAGTGCGCGATACCCTCCAAACATAGCTGCGTATCGCTCTGGCTCAAGGGACTTCTTTACTCTCGCGGACAGTAACAGTGGCGGTTCCAGAGGGAGGGGCGAAGGGGGTGACCACCCCCCCCCCCTAGGGCATACATATATATATTTTTTTACTGCATGTAATACACTCGTGCATACACATTGCGTAAAATAATTTGTCACAGTAACTTTGGAAAAAGATATGGTATATAACTGCCATCTTGGAGGCTTATTTTACACACATTTTTCGGGGTAGTACCCCAGAACCCCCCGACTCCCCCGGTTCGACACCCCACCCTTGTGACTGTTCTAGGATCCGCCACTGTGTTCTAATAACTTAATATATCATTAACTTGATATATCATTATTTTTGTGGTATTAGCAGCAAATCTAAAGAATAATGATGATTTTTATGCCTGGTTAATAAGATTTATAAGATTTTATCCATTAAAAATGTTGCATCTGATGGTTCTAAGTTGCCATAACTAAAGATCGCAGTAGTAGTAAAATCTAGTCAACGAGTTTTAAGGTTTTACATCGTTCTCTACTCTGATCACAATTTTTAGATTTTTTAATACTTTGAAGAAAAATGTACGTCTATTTAGGTTTTGTGTGATATCTAATTACTGTAGTACTTAAATTAAAATTAACATATTTCCCAATGATATGACAATATGTACTTTATATATCTATTTAGTTTACATATATTTGATCAATGCTTTTTTTATTTATAACACATAATTTATTAGTTCAATTTACCTATATTTTTGTATTTTACTATCAACTTATTCTAAATCAAGAGCCTTAGAAACTTTAAAAAATAATTTAAGGTAGGTGCAATAAAGAGTTTTAGAAATTCACAATCGTGTTGTACCATATTATACCTAAGTTAGCATTATATCCATAACACATTTGAATTATTAGGCTATTATTACTTTCGTTGTGTAAATTTATAAATATATTATTTTCTTCAGAGATTTAGGCTATATTTTTTATATTACGATTTATTATGTTGCTTGGATTTATAATTTGCTCTTTTATAGAGTTGTAAGACACTGATTTGTTGATATTATTGATAAATTATTCTAATTCATTGTTACACTTTTATACACAGATATCCATGTTCACATTGTATTATAAAAATGTAGATCATATCAAATTTTAAGAGAGTTTTGCATTTGTATTTTATAAATGTATGAAAAGCTTTACATATTAAAAAAGTAGTTATAAAATTTGTACTGTACTGTTTTTCTTTAAAATTAAATTTTTGTTCACGTTTTATTTATTGTTTTATTTTTTCATGATGTCTGGAGGTTTGATAAAGTCTATATTAATAAGCAAGCATGTTTCTTTAAAACCTTTTTTCTCAGCTCGTGTGCATCCCAGGGAAAATCTATGCATACTGTTAGAAATAGAAATGTGTTTTCCTGTAGATGTGCAGAATCCATTTATAAATTAAAATAGGCTCAAAAATAAGCACAAAACATGACTTAAATATTTAAAAAAATGTAACATGGTCCTTATGGGTTACCATGATGGTGACAAAATAACAACAAAATATAAACAGAAAATCAAAACAAATGAACAAATGGAAGAAATACCAATCACATGTTTAATTTACAGTGTGGAGTGAAAATAGAGAAGTCTGGTAGATGCATTTATGTTACATATTTTTGGTCAAGTCTCCACTGGACGACCTCTAGTTAAATTAAATGTACAGAATTTGTATGGTATCCTTTTTGTCTCATGATCACGCTGTTGAATTGTGAGCCCACTGGGGTTGTTCTAAAACTTAATAACCCTCATTCAGAACCTCTTCAAGTTTTTTTAAAGTTAAGGTAGTTTTTTACAAATATCAAAAGACTACTAAAATATTTTGGGGTCAAGGATTTGTAAGCTTCTCTGATACATAAAATAGCTCTAGTTGTTAGAGTGTAATAATTTACCTAACTGATTCCATCTGTTTGTTTGTTCATGTTATTCCACTGTGTGAAACTGCATTAATGATCTATATCCATCTGATATCTATATTTTAATTTCTTAAGTACTTTTTTTGTCCGTAGACCTTCAAATTTCTTCACCAATTTTCATAAATGAGGTGTCATTAAAGCTTTTTTACTTTCTATCCGGGAAAGATATGTCACTCATTTTTCAGTAGTTTTTAGCGAATTTCCCATATAGGGAATAAGCTATTACCGTAGTACTCATGGTAAGACCTGGACCCGGGACCGATTTTTTTTTTCGTTTTGAGGTCCCTAGAGGCCAAAAACACCATCCGTTCAAATTCATGTATATATATATATATATATATGTGTGTCCGTTAGCGCGATAACTCGAGCAAAAATGATCCGATTTTGATGAAATTTGGTACAAACGTGTAAACCTACGTTTATTTGAACGAGTTCGCGAACCAGCATGATCGGACCATGGGAACAGGGGTTTATGGGGGCTTTTATGGGGTAAAAATGGGTTTTTCCTATTTTTGACCCAAAAAACAAAAAAAATTTAAATTTCTTTCCAAACTATTTTGTAGAGCTTAAAAAAACAAATAATTTAGTATATTGAAGCATTATAATGCGCCTAATGGTTACGGAGAAAATTCCAAAAAATTGTTAATTTAAAATTCCCATGTTATTCTTATGGAGAATAAGTAAACCGTTGTAGTGTGCTTGTTTATTAACATATTTTGCCCAAATTTGGAAAATGTTTTTATTTCTTACTAACTATTAACATTTTACATAAAAAACACTTTTACCCTCACTGTTGGAGCAAACCTAAGTATGTCTTAAACTGATTCTATTTAAATAGGGAATAAATGTGATATTTTCAAGGAGACATTTTAGTCTAAATCCAATCAGGCAAATGGAAATTCGCTTAGTCTGCAGGTTTGCTGCGGCGGGGGTATTTCATAAAAACGATCTATATCATTCTGCAAGTAATTTTAACTTGAAATGTTTATTAACGTTATTTGATCAGCTGAAACATGTGAATTAAATTAATCAATACCCCTGCCGCAGCAAACCTGCCGACTAAGCAAATTTCCATTATTGTCTGAATTGATTTTCAGTTAAATATATTTTAATAACATTAGGTTTAACGAGTACCTAGGTTTGCTGCTACAAGGAAACTAATAAAGTCTGTTTTTGAGTAAAATATTGATAGCTTAATAAAAAATAAATAAATTTGCCAAGTTTGATCAAAATATATCCATAAACAAGCAAACTACAACATTTGACAATATTCTCCATAAGAATAACATGGGAATTTTAAATTTACAATTTTTTTTATTTTCTCCGTTACCAATAATCGAACAAAAATACTTTTATATACTAAATTATTTGTTTTTTTTAAGCTCTTTAAAAAGGTCTAAAGAGAAATCGGGAAATTTTGTGTTTTGAGGGTCAAAAGTGAGAAAAACCAATTTTTACCCCATAAAACCCCCCGTAAAGCCCCGTTCTCATGGTCCGATCGTGCTGGTTCGCGAACTCATTCAAGTTTATCCCGCTTTACACCTAATTTCATCAAAATCGGACAAAAATTACTCAAGTTATCGCGTTCACGGACGTATATAAGTCTATATATATATATATATATATATATATATACATATATAAAAATTTGAACAAATGGTGTTTTTGGCCTCTGGGGACATCAAAATGAAAAAGTAAATCGGTCCCGGGTCTAGGTCTTACCGTGCCACCTACGGTAATAGCTACTTCCCTATAGGGAAATTCGCTAAAAGAAAGGAATATTTATTTCTCAAATCTGAGTGTTTTGTTTTTACTTCATCAATGGTGACCAACATACTACTAAACATACTACATTTTTAGTAAGTCTGTGCTTTCTACGATAAATAACTCCCTGGATGAAATCACAGTATTCACTTTAAAGAAATCTAAACAAGAAGTAAGTAATGCATGAATTCATTAGCTTTTATATTTCTTTATTTACGACATTGCCTTCATTTTTAAATACCTACCAACCCTTCTATGTATATTTAAGAATTCCATCTCCAAATATCACCCGTTATCTTTTTTTTACTGCGGGTTTCAATAAATGGTTATGTTGTGTTGATTTTGTTACCAACAGGAAACGGTTAAAATCAGTTTTCATTCGGTTCTTTACTAAGGGACTAGAACCAGGACGTGCTGTTGTATTCATTTGAGTTTCCCTACGCCCTTTAGATTTGTTACCTCATAAATCCACGCTAAAAAAAAGCTCTATATTATCATGTTTATGAGAAACCTAAGCATTACTATCCAAGATTGGTTGTAGCTCACTTGGGCATCTACTCTATCAAAGCGAAGTAAGTTACCTTTTCCACGACTTTAAATAAGGCACATGGACTGACTATGTGTTATCCGTTACTGGACTCATTAATTAATTTTATTCCTATTTTAAATGTATTACAGCTGATGTAATGTTTACAATTTTAATATTGAGGAATGAATGAAAACAAGACATTATTTTCAGTTTCATAAAATTATGTGTTGTAATGATTTAATTCAATAAGTACGTAACAATGGCGACTCAGAGCTTAAAGAGAACTTAATTACAAGCTTGAAGAGAACGGGACATTCTGAATGGATATTCAAGAAGTGACTGAACAAAACAAAGCAATATTGGAAACATTACAAGCCCAAACTGCTGCTCTTCAAGGCCGTCCAAAGGGGGTGGGGCAACCATGGGCAAGCTGCCCTGGGCGCATGTTATAGGTACAATAAGGCCTCTCTTGATATTGAATCGAAAGCCTTATTAAGGTCCACAAAACAACAATACAGCTTGCCCCTTTTTTATAGCTCTCTATCTATAAGTGTTCTTAATACAAATACATTGTATATGTTGAATAGCCCTGCTTAAAACCACACTGAAAACATGATATTTTTTCGTATTTGTTTGCCCAAGCCCTAATTCGGTTATTTAATAGTTTTGCATAGCACTTGCCTAACACTGGGAGTAAAGTAATGGCTCTATACGAGTTGGGATCTTGTCTGTCTCCACTGCCTTTGTATAGACTGTATATCATACCCTTGACCCATACATTTTTGGTACTTTCCCGCCATTAAACTTAAATATTAATTCAAACAATCAAACATCCTTATAGTTATAAACACTTCGTTCTGCAAAATACTTTTTATAAACTCTGGACATATTCTGTCAACTCCACAAGCTTTCCCATTTTTTAATTCCTTAGATACAGCCATTGACTAAGGAAACAAAAGTTTTTTTTGTTTCCCTTGTCTGTGGTGTGACTTTATGAAATCAGCTGCTGCTAGTGCTGCTATATCGACAGCTAAGCGCAAGTGCAGAAGGGCGGCATTTTCCTGTCATGAAAGGCTCGCGTCTGTTCTGTTTTACTTTTGCTGCTAAGTAACAGACAGACCGCAGTCATCAACAAGATGGTTCTTCTTCTTCAGCGGCCAGTTTTTTTTCGTTTGCAATAAGTGAAAGTGATCAGTCAAAACTCAAAACAAAACAGTCAGGCTGTAGAGACTAGAGAGAGTAGACGCTTGTTGTGAAATCTATGCCCGCTCGCTGTGTCGGTACAAGTTTTTTCTAGTGGGGCCTTGGTGCAAGTCGGTGTCAGCGTGGACCAGTGATGCAGCAGTTAGTGACGTCATAACGGCACTTGAAAAATCTCCCGTGTGCCGCACCGACCCACCGAACCGACCACTCATCAATCGTGTAAAACAATAACATAACCTCAACCTCATCAGTCAGCCCAGCCTCAGCCCTCAGGCCGGGTCTGACTTAGGGGAGGTACAAATGAGGCATTTAGTTCAAAATTCCTCCGTAAACAGCGCTGTAGTAGAGAGCACTTTGGCAATAAAGGTTTACTAATCGCAAAAATAGTTCTGTTCATAAAATAAAATTATAAATGCCTCAAATTCAATTTTACTATTTTTAATTATAAAATTAAACTATCATAACCTAACCGAACTAACCAAACTTGCTGATAAAGAAATAATATAACAAAAGTTTAGTAATCGGAAAAATAATTCTGTTTATTAAATAAAACTAGAAATTGCTCAGTTAAAATTTTATAATGACTTAATAATAAAATTAAACTGTAATAACCAAACCAAACCAACCAAACTTGCTGATAATAAAAAAATCTTGGACAAAAAGTTAATGCTACTAGCGGGATTCGAACCCGGGACCTTCAGTATACCAGCCCGGCACGCTAACCATTGGACCACCGAGGCCGATGGCTATCGAACGTTTTGTTACGGTAATGGCGTTCCCTCAGCTAAAAAGAAGCCCTCAGCTGTCATCGTAGC